CTGTCCGACGTCTCCTTTCACCCACTTTTTTTTTCTGTTGTCTGTCCCCCAGGGAGGAGGTCACATATAGTTCCTTTTAATTGGTTCCCTCTTTCCAGCCCACTCTCCCTCTACCCTCCCAGTATCGCCACTCACACCACTGCTCCTGAAGGGATCATCCGCCCTGTGTCTCCATTTCCTATCTGTACAGTGTCCATCCTCTGGTCTAGCCAGACTGTAGCATTCTTTTATGGCCTACTCGTGAGTTCATTGGATAGTCCTGCTTATCCCATAATTTGCAAATCAGTGATCTCTAAAACCATTATGATTCTCTAAAATCTGCCCTGTCGATAATTAGAAAAAGCAACAGTTTTATTGGGTCATAATCCAAATATCATACCATTCAATACTTGGGTCATATCAAGAAATCTATACAGTCATTACCACAATCAGTTTTACAACATTTTCTTCTTTTTAGTCATTGTTGTTAACTCCCTATTCCTCCCCAACCTCCCCTGCCACACCCCCAAGGGACCGTTAATCCAGTTACTGTCTCTGTAGATTCACCATCCTGGATTTCACACACCAAAAAGTGTAGACAGAGTCAAAGAAGCTAACACAAAACAAAATAAAACGGAGAAAAACCCAAGTTGGAAAGAAAATAGACAGTATTAAAAACTAGTACAACTTTAAAGTGGGTCAAAAGGAAAAGCAAATGATAAGCTATTGGATTTTAACCTGGTTATATCTGCCCTAATATATTTTCCAATATATCCTATGTGATAGCAAAGCTATTCACATCCCTGGTCTATGTTTTGAGGGGATTCACTGGAGGATTATGTGTACCTCACCTTCACTTTGTTTTAAACTGCTAGATCTTTTTTAAAATTACATATATATTTATTCATATATAATTCAATTTAATCATTTAATCACATTAAGAAAAGTTGCACAATTATCACCACAATCAATTTTGGAATATTTCATTCCCATATTCATTGTTATTAGCTAACCCAAACTCCCCTGCCATGCCCCTAGGTAATCATTTATCCATTTACTTTCTCTATATAGTACCTGTCATGGATTTCATACACAGAATATCACTCAATACAAAATTAGGTAGAAAACAATTAAATAATTTTTGTTCAATGAAAAATAAACTAGAGGAAAACCTCAAAAAGCAGAAAATATTGAAAATTGAAACAACCTTAAAATTGATCAAAAGGGGAGATCAAATGAATTTTTACTGAATGGACATGTGATTTTATTTTTTAGTCTTTTTATTGGGGGTTATTAAACAGCTCTTTGCTAGAACTTTTAAATGTGTCACAAAGGGGATCCAATCAGATGTTACATTTTAACCTTTCAAAATTTGATGTTACATTTTAATCTACTGTAATCATCTTTACAATACTCTCTGTTTAATAACGAGGCTATTCACATCCCTCAACTATGGTCAGAGGGAAGTCACCGGAGGTTTGATCTATGTGTAGATCCTGCTAATGGATTGTGGGCTTCTGCAAAGCAGAGTACCCAATTAAAGCTCTGCTACCATTCCCTTCCACTCATGAATTTGGATTATATTATTTACGATCACACAGGGTCACACATGCTAGTGTGCTTCTTCCATGTGGACTTAGTTGACACCTCACTTGGCTGGCTGCTTATTCGAAGATAACTTTTTAAGACCCCAGAAGCAATTCTTTCTGATAGCCAAGCATCATCTAGTTTCTTCACTGTGTTTTGCTGTAGCACCCATATCTTCTGTGATCTCCCCCCCCACCTCCTCTCTTCATGAAGGTGCATGAATGCTCTTTCATATATGAAGGGGTACCCCCGCAAAATATGCTCATTTGGTTTTTTTAATGTGAGGGGGTTTGTTTTACCAGGTCAGACTTAACCTTTCTATTTAAAGATTCTGAAAAGAAGCCTAAGAGTGTGTGACAACAAAGGCCTGATTTGTGGCAGATGGGGGACTGGTTTTGCCACCACAACAGTGCACCTGTTCACACAGCCATTCAGTGTGCCAGTTTTTGGCAAAGAACAACATGCCTCTCTTGCCTCAGCAACTTTCTCACCTGACCCCACACTGTGCAACTTCTTTTTGTTTCTGTAAATGCAGAGGGACGTGAAAGGATGGCAATTTGACGATGTAGAAGAGCCATCCAAACAGATGTTTGAAAAATGTTTCCAAGAATGGAATTGCAGATTTGACCTATGTATTAAGTGTAATGGAGAGTACTTTGAAAGTGATAAGGCTGTTTTGTAAAAAAACTTAAATACAGAACTAAGGAGAGGGTATTCTGGGGTTTTTTTGGGTACCCCTTTTTTACTATTATATTTTAAAATGATGTAGCTTAGTAAGTATCATTTTCTCTTAAATGCTTATCTATTTAAAGTAGTAACGAATATAATTTTATGGCATATAATAAGCATTCAATGAATATGTTAGGGAAACAAGAAACTTAGGATCAAGTTTATTATTTTAATAGTTTCTCTCTCATTTTGAATTCTTGTTTATTTATATCAGCCATTGCCATCTTATAGTGACCACTATAGGGCAGAATAGAACTAACTTCTTGCTAGGGTTTCCAAGGCTTTAAGTCTTCATAGGAGCGATGACTTCATCTTTCTTCCACCAGAGCAGTTGAGGGATTTGAACTGCTGACCTTGTAGTTAGCACTGGAATAACCCACTACACCACCAGAGTACATTAATTTTTCTGTAAGACACATTAGGGAATTAAAGTAAAACAATTTCTTTTAAATAGAGAATATTTATTATAGTAAATAGTTGACTTTCAGTTTAGCTGTTTTATAAGCTTTGTACGAGAAATTTTAGTTTTACTATTGTTGCCATGAAAAATATTAAATTATCCCATGAGTAAAGATTGTATTTCATTAATTTATATTATTTTATTGAAAATGATGTGAGATTGAGACATTTTCTTACAAATATGATCATAGTAATTTTCTTTAAGATTTAATGTATTTCATACTGAATTTAATACTCGCAAGGTTATGAAGATATGCATAAAATAGAAATTTGACTATCAAGTGGTGTTTCTGTATTCTGATAAATGACATACATTTCTTTTTTGGAACATTTTGTGGTTTGGTGGAAATTTTACAGAACAAATTAGTTTCCCATTAAAAACATCATGCACATGTTGTTTTCTGACTGTTTATAATCCATTTTATGTAGCAGTGCACTTCCCACTTCCTCTCTGAGTTTCCTGTTTTCATTTGCTCATCTTTCCTCCCCTCCTGTCGTCTGAATTTTGATTTTGGGCAAATGCTATCATTTTGGTCTTGTGTGGTTGATTGTTTAGTGGAGTCCATTCCTCATAGATATTATTGTTCACATTATAGTCTTGTGTATTGCTTGACTGAAAATTGATAACTGTTAGTGGGTTCAGTTCCAGGACTGGAGCAATGTCCAGAGGCACAGTTTTGTGAATTCCACCACTCTCTTATCAGACAGGCCAGTAAAGTCTCGTCTTTTTTATGGGTTTGAATTTTGTTTTACACTCCCCCGCCCGCCCTTTCTATTTGGAACTTTTGTTGTGATCTTGAGGAGAGCATTGGGCAGTGGGAGCCGGGCAGTAGACCCCTCTGGTCTCAAGTTAGTGGAGGCTGTGGTTCATAGTCCTTCAGACTAATTGTTTCCTTGGGGCTTGGATTTCCTTCACTTTTCTTTGCCCTGGATGGGAAAGACCAGTACTTGTAGCTCGTGTGCCACATGGCTCTTTCTTCGTTTTCATCGTTTATAAGTTAGTGTTGGGAGCATTTCTTATCCCTTAAGTAGATGACTTTTCTGAAAGAATTACTGGAAGTAACCATGCTTAAGTACACAAATGAGAGGTTTTAGGACCCTTGTTATTTGAATGATATAATTTATATCTTAATCATGTGATGGAATGACTTGATTTTCAACCTGTTGTATAGCTTATGCAAGTATGAAAGAAATAATGAGTTTGATGTGCTGAGTCATTGAATGCATTTTTAAAATTATCTTCACTTCTTTCTACAAGTAAGAGAGAGGGAGGCCAAAGACAGAGTGGTAAAATAAAAGGTAAGTGGAGCCTTAAGAGTGAAGAGATGCCAGTGTAACAGCACAAGCCCAGTGAGAAATAGCAGCGGTGCCTTCCTTGGCCTGAGTTTTGGGGAGACAGTAGGAAATGTGGAGTACTAAGTCAATTATAGTTCTTCCCATCTTCCCCTGGTCAGTGCAACCCTGTTGTTGCCACAAAAAATATGAGTCCAGCTTCATCCATTTGTTTTCACTTTTCAAGAGAATCCAGAATTATAAATAACTAAAAATGTGTGTAAATAAATATATTAAATCTCATAATTTAAAAATGATAGTAATAATGTACACTTTTTTATATTATATGTGCCAAAAAAATACTTGTTTTGGCAGATTAAGTGATGCATGTGTGAAAGTGAAGAGGAAAAGAAATTGGTTAATCTGTGTGACCCTGCCTTACTTATTTATAGCCTGACACGTTGTAAATATAATATGACTAGTTATGACTTAGGATTTGTTGTACCTCTTCTAAATACACATTAGAAGAATGAAGGAAAGGAAATGATAGTGGGGCTAATAAGCACTGAAACATTTAACATAATTTGCTATTTAAAAATTGGAAACAGCTAAACTTAGATGAAAAAATAAATCAGTTATTTTATTGGTACTAACAGAAATATTTTAAAAAAGAAAGTATGCACATTATTAAAACTGTTTTAAAAGGGTACGTTTTTCTGTAGTAAAGTTCTAAGATAAGTGTTACCATTGCTTTATCAAGCATGACTGTAAAGTCAGGTCTTGAGCAGTTTTTCATTATGTTTTAGATTGTTAGAGACGGACAGCAAGTCTTTAAGATCTGTGAACGGGTCAAGAAGGAACAGTGGCTCCTCTCTCGTTTCAAGCTCTTCCGCCTCTAGCAACCTCAGCCACCTTGAAGAAGATTCTTGGCTTCTCTGGGGAAGAATTGTTAATGATTGGGAAGATGTACGCAAAAAGAAGGAAAAGCAAGTTAAGGTACTCCTTTTGTTATTGTTCACATTCTTTCCTGCATCCCAAAGGAGGACATTGAACTGCAGACTCATTGTCCTAGAGTCAGTGCCGACTTACAGCGACCTCTTGTGAGTCTCCGAGACTGTACTGTCTACCTGACAGAGCCCAGTCTTTCCCTCGAGGACCTGCTGGCGGTTCGCACTGCTGACCATGCGGATCACTGCCAGTGTGAAGCCACTACACCCCCAGGGCTCCTAGAGGAGGACATTAGGCAAGGATTAATAGAGTATTCATTTGAGGATTGTTAAAAAAAATTAGATTCCCAAATTTCCAAACTATGTAACTAAAAGGGCTGCTTCGTGTACGTTCATGCGTTTATGCCTGTAGAATAGTGGTTCTCAACCACCCTAATGCCGCGACCCTTTAATACAGTTCTTCATGTGGTGGTGACCCCAACCATCAAATTATTTTTATTGCTACTTCATAAGTGTCATTTTGCTACTGTTATGAATCCGGCGACCCCTGTGAAAGGGTCGTTTGACCCCCAAAGGGGTGGTGACCAACAGGTTGACAACCGCTGCTGTAGAAGGGGTGACTGGTGAAAGTCAGTTAATGTAAAACTCGTTTTCCTCAAGTCATGTTTAACTCCATAGAGACCCTGCAGGACAGAGTAGAATCGCCCCTCAGAGTTTACGATGGTGCCCTCTTCGCAGAAGCAGACTGCCACGTCTTTCTTTCTCCCATGTACCTTTTGGTTCGCAGTGAAATGCTTAACTACCATGTCACCAGGGCCTCCTTGTCACTACTAAAATTGTAGAAGTATATAACTGGGAATTATTTTAGAAATTAGTTAAGTTCCCGTATTTTACAGATTTGGAATAAAGCGATGACTTCCTTGAATATGTGATACATTTTCCTTCCCCCTCAGTAGCCCTAGGAAAGCTGTTGAGTGTTGTACCATCATCACAGGTCTGTAGATGATCAAGTCCACCTTCAGGAAGGAGCCCTGGTGGTCAGTGGGTTCCGAGCTAGGCTGCTCACCGTCGGAGAAGACCAGGCAACCTGCTCCCTGAAGGTGGATGGCTCAGAAGCCCGGAGCAGGTCTCCCTTGTCCCTCAGAATTGACTCGATGGCAGTGAATGTGGCTTTTGGAGTGGTCATCTTCAGACGCCCTACTCTGACAGAAATGACCCAAACTTGTTTTTGATTGTGCAGGTTCCCTCCCTCATCAGACCATCCAAGAGACTATCAGAACCTTGCTGGAGAGGTTCTCTATTCTTGTAAATACTAACCTTGTGAATTATTATTCTCCATGTGTGGTAGGACTTTTTGATAAGGAGGCTTAATAATTTGTCAATTTTTATTTACTTTTATTGTTATTTTTAGGAACTTGTTCGTAAAGGAATTCCCCACCACTTTCGAGCTATAGTTTGGCAACTTCTATGCAGTGCACAAAGTATGCCAATTAAGGATCAGTATTCAGAACTTTTGAAAATGACCTCACCTTGTGAAAAATTGATCCGAAGGGACATTGCAAGAACTTACCCAGAACATAACTTTTTTAAGGAAAAAGATAGCCTTGGACAGGAGGTTTTATTTAACGTAATGAAGGTACGTTCTATATGTTGTTTTAGAAAGATGCATTTTTCCACTGTTGAAAGTATATGTTTCCCATCAGAAAGCATGCATTTCTACCTCAGCTATCAGTTGCTTTGACAAAAAATTTGTCTTCGGCATTAATTTCTGCTCTTTGGGTTTTACTAGAATTTTAAGAAATTAAAAATACCGATGCTATTATAAAAGTCTGGGGAACTTGTTAGAAAATCCATTACATTAACATGAGTTTGCTGATATAAGATAAACTGTTGAACATAGAAAGAGCCTCTATGAAAATGAGTAATTCGCCTTCTTTGAGATTCAAAAAATGGGACAGCCTTTTCTCCTCCTGTCAGCATGTACCCAGACAGGGCGTTTTCCTGCTTGCTGTGGCCAACGCTGTTAAGATACATTACGGTAGCTTCTAAAAGTGTATCATTTTAATGTCCTCCTCCATATTGTCGTCTTGCATTGTTTCTTTTCCTCACAGATACCTCTGTGAAACACTGACATTTTGCTAAACCATTTCAATTTTACCAGTGCTGTACCTTAACATTACTCCTGTTCTAACTTCTTCAGTCAGTATACATTTTACTTGATTGTGTGAAGCGTTAGTGATTTCCTCATTCCCAGTTCCTTTATCTTTCTGGCTTTTTTTGAGACAGCATTTTCCAACTGGTACAAGTTTTGTGATGAGATGTTTGCTTTTGAGATATGTATAGGGTTTCTAGAACAAGGAAGCAATGGCGTTTCTAAAACAGGGATGGTCTTTTGATTCTCCTCTTTGTCAGACATGTTTTAGAGAAGGAAGATATATGCAATGTTAAAGTATCTTGAACACATGATTCTTGGCTTTCCAGGCATATTCTCTGGTGGATCGAGAGGTTGGTTACTGTCAAGGAAGTGCATTCATAGTTGGCTTGTTGCTTATGCAGGTAAGTGAATGTCCAAGTAGACTCCGTTGAAAGTTAGATGGGTGAATTTAAAAATCATGTGTTTTTATTAGTGATAATTGGGTGCTGTGATTCTTTTTGTAAGGCATAATTTCAATAGGCCTATTTAATTTGTATTTTAAAAGTATAAAACTATTAAGATAATATGAATTAATACTCTGCCCTCAAGATTAAATGTCAACTTCTTGGTATATACATGTGTATCGTAATGCTTGCTAAAGCCAACCTGCATTTGCTTAAATCTTACTTGCCCACATTTAATGAGGAATGATCTTTTCCCTGGAGGAGATGGGTTGACACAGTGACTGCAGGCCCAGGCCCTATTTCACTCTGTTGTACGAGGGGTTGCTGCGTGTCTCAACTGACTGGACAGCACACAGCAGCAGAAGCGATCATCGTTTGTCAACCAAAAAAGACCCAATTAAAGTCTTATATAAAAATCCCTCTTATGCCATGGAAATGTTTCCTGTTTAACGTGGAGCAGAGGGCTCTGGTGCTCAGTCTCCTTTAATGCCGCAAGGGTATTTCCATTAGCAGTGGCTTGTTTGGGAGTGGTTTGGATGGTGGACGTCTTCAGAATCGAGAAGCAGAGCAGTTACACCTCTGCAGAGAAAGGAATGTATCATTGTCCTTCAGCCTTAGTAAACGGTGTTAAAGTCCACTATAATCTATAGTCACTCTCAGGATTTTGGTCAGGAAAAGGTACCTCGAAGATAATTGTATTTGATTCACATCGGCTGTACTTTACATTTCAGTTCTGTACTAGCTCTAGATTATTTGAGCTAGATTATTTAACATCTCTCTGAACCACAATGAGAAAGTACTGTGGACTTCTCAGGAGCCATGCTGGTGCAGTGGCCAACCATTAATTGTTCTCTGCCACCAGCTCTGTGGGAGAAAAGACCCGACAGTCTGTTTCCACAAAGAGCAGAGTCTAGGAAATCCTGTGGGGCAGTTCTACGTTGTCTTATAGGCGCTTTATGTCTGCTCTGGCTCACTGTGACCCAGAATCAACTCAGTGTAACACAACTTTCCCAATTCATTGTGAGGTTTACATGAGATAATGTCTGTCGAAGATCTAGCATCGTGTTTGGGACATAGTGGATATGCAGTAAAAGTCCAGTGACTTTCCCACTATCGTGATTCATGGTGGATAAGGCCAGAATCAACCACAGTGTTTCCTGATGCCTTGCTTTCATTTCCCAGCAGTTTTACTTGGATTTTAAAGCTCTATAATTGTCAGAAGTATACAAAAAATATTCCTAAACCTGATTTCAGAGATACACACTGACTGGCTGCCTTACTTCATGCTAGACAGTAAGAATTGTTCTTCATGGTTGTTGGAGGATATGTGCCCACTTTTAAGTCAAATTAGATGATATGCAATAAAAAAGACTAAATTTTGTCTTGTTTTGTTGTGGAGAACATGCATAGCAGAGCACACATTGGTTTTCTCCATGTTCAGTTCAGCGACATTGATTCAACTCTTTGAGTTGCACAAACATTCTCACCTTCCTTTTCTGAATATGCCTTTTCCAGTAACATAAACTCAGGCCCACCCCCCACCCCCATGTGCCCTGTCTCACCTTTTGAGTGTCTGTTGTCAGTTTGATTTCATATAGCTAGTTCCTAGAAAACCAATGTTAAAGGCTGATAATTTTAACTAGTTATTATTGTCTTGTTTTAAGAAGACTTTGGGGGTCATTTTTGGTTTAAATTTTAGAAATTATCTCAGGGCAGCCCTTTCAGGGGTCAGTCTAATCCTCCTGAACTTCACAAAGTCTGGAGTTCATGAGAATTTGAATTTTGTTTTGTATTTCCTCCTTTTGATCAGGATTCATCTATGGAATCTTTGATTACATTGTTCAGCAACCAGGTATCATCACCCATCCAGTTCTTTTGGTCTCATGACAAAGGCGGCAAGTGTCCCATTCACTAAAGCTGGAAAGATAGGTACAGTTGCAGGTAGGGTAGGAGATGTGTGGTATGAAAATATGGGACTTTTCTTCCAATTGCTTTATTTTAATTGAAATAAACTTGGTTATTCATTTAGCTAATTGATTTCCAAACTTATTTGACCTGCTGACCCCTTTTCAGAATGTGAAAACCAAAAACCCTCAGCACCACCACTGCCGCCCCAGCGATTAAAGACGTTTGTGCTATAGCCCGTAATCAAGGGTAAAGCAAAGGGATGAAGAGCAGTTCTGTCCTGCGTGGTCTTACAAGTGCCCCAGGAAACTATGTGACCCACTTGGAAAACACTGATTTAGAGTCAGAATGGGGATGAGATGTTGGGGAAATTGAGAACTGAGAAGAAAGTTTGAAATGGTGGTCTAGAAAATTAACAGTGATTAAATCAGGGTAATACGTTATTCCAGGCAGCATTAAAGACCCACTGACATTATTGTTGTTGTTAGGTGCCGTGGCGTCTTCTCCCAGTCAGAGTTACCCTGTGTACAACAGAATGAAAGCACTGCTCGGTCATGTTCATCCTCACAATCATTCCTGTGCCTGAGGCCATTGTGATCATGAATTCAAAGTGAGACCAGCCTACGGAGTTAAGGGGTTTGTTAGTTTTCTCCTCAGCAACTTTCTGCTACTTAGACTTAGTGGGGTCTTACATTTATCAAAAATTTGCCAGTTGGAGGTATAATAGAGGGAGAGAGAAGAAAAAAATAATTGTGGATGTATGTAAATGAAGAAGCGTAATAGGGTAAGGGACAGGGTGAAGACGAAGAAGTTGGGAATAGAGAACAGGTATGTACTCCAAATGAATCGCAGGCCTGTAAGTTGAGTTCAAAAGTTGTAAATACTTTATTTATATTACTCTTCATTGTAACTCTATGAAATAGGTGCTATTAGTTTGCCCATTTGATAACTGGTAAAACTAAGGAGCAGGCAGATTATATAATTTGCCCAATGCAACATAGCTGTTAAAGTGGATAATCTGGGATTTGAACCATAGTTGGTGTGGCACCAGAACCTGAACAAGTAAGTAAGATCATTGTAGGAAAGAAAGTCAAAGATTTGCTAGGCCAGAGAATTAATCTTCACGAAAATGAGTGGGGGAAGTTTGTAGAGGCCGCACAGAAGAGAGGGGCAGTGGGTGAATTACCTGCTGGTCTGTGTTTCTGGGAGAACAGAGAGCACGTGGGGTGAAAGTGGCAGGGAAGCTCAAGGAGGACACACCTCTCCACCCTCTTCGAGTGCTGTGGGACAGAACATAACTGCCTCAGGGGGAGCCAGGTTTTGGGGGTCAAGTCTCCCTGGAAGAGAGACAGATTTTAGGCAGACGAATAGGTGAAAGGAGTATTTAGAAAAGAGGTTGAGGTTATAGGATATTTTTATATTGGCCGATTTCAAGTGTTGTAAACTGCAGTGGAAATGGACATATCTTACCTCCCCTGGCTTCCCCATTGCCACAAGGCAGGAGTCACACATGACTCCACGCTCCATCCTCTACCTATTCTCATACCAACTGTTCCTCCCACGCCACTCTACATCTGTGCTGGGTCTGATAATCCATTGTATTGGCCACACACAACTCACAGACAGTACTCAGAACGGAAGGGGTTTATTAGGGAAGTCAATAGGTTATCACAAGTCAGGATCAGCAAACAGAAAGGTGACATGTAGTCTTTGTATTCCTCACTTAGCAGCCAAATCTCTTTGTCCAGTTCTCAGCCTCTTGGCCATGTGGTTGATAGCCAAGTCTCTCTCTGGTCCTGTGTGATAGCCACACAGCCCCTTGGCCTTTGCCTCCATGGCCATGAAGACATCCTGCCTGTCACTCTGTCCCACGGTGCCATAGTTTTGGACCAGATGAGGAGAAAGTATCCTGTAGTCTTAGCACTGCTCCTCTGTTTCCAAGACCTAGTCTCTGACGCATCTTGTCTCGGCGGTCTCTGCCACTTCAGACAGAAATCATGAATGTGTTTCCCTTTTCTCAACTTCTGCTTCAAAGTTGGCTCGTCCATATTGCCAGGAAGGTGGTAACAGACCCCCTCAATTTGTGTTGAACACACACTGGTTACCTAGTCTCATTCAGTCATTTGGGGGGAGTTACAAAGACTAGGGTAGAAGAGCCATATTTGGAAATTTCATTCCATCACAATAAGTTCCAGAAGGTTCAGTGGAAAAGTTTAGAGAGAGTTGGAAATAGGGTCAGATAAGGGGAGCAGTAGAGCCACATAAAATGAGAGTTCTGTACAGAAAAGAGCTTGCAACACAGGGAATCCAGGGTAGATAAACCACTCAGGGCCAACAAGGAGAGTATAGATAGCCGGAGGATTAGGGAAGGGTCGGGGGAGAAAGAGGGAACTGATCACAAAGATCAAACTAGAACCCCTTCCCAGGGGGACGAATAACAGAAAAGTGGGTGAGGGGTGATAGAGGACGATGTAAGATATGGAAATAATAATCTATAACTTATCAAGAGTTTGTGATTGAGGGTGGGTGGGGGAGAGAGGGGAAAGAAATGGGGAGTGGATATTGGGCTCAAGTGGGAAGAGAATGTTTTGAAAATGATGATGGCGGCATATGTGCAAATGTGCTTGACACACTGCAGCAATGTATGGATTGTGATAAGAGATGTAAGAGCCCCGATAAAAGTATTAAAAAAAAAAAAAAGATGAGAGTTCTGACATCTTGAGCTTTTTGTAGTGACTGATAGAAACCGTTGGGGTTGTAGAGCTTGAGAGGATTAGTAATAGTGGTCTCCAAGGGAAAACTGTGGCTGAATGTTGGCAGGAAAGAAGGAAGTGGGGGTTTTGCCAAGAGTAATTCTTAACTCCTGTCTGGCTGTGTCGAGGCCAGGGAAAAGGGTATTGTTATTAAAAGTAGTCTTTAGTAATAGGAGATCGATCCATCAGGGGTTCCCTATTTGAAACACACTGCTTTGTGAATGAATGAGCATTAGCTAATTTTATTTTGAGGAAGGTACCTTAGCAAAAAAAACCCAACAAAAACCAACCCATAAAAAAAAGAAAGGCATGCATAAATGTGTTTTGCCTAAATATTCTGAATATCCTTGTAGCTCTTCATAAGCTTTTATTCTCATCTTATTTGATAAAATTTCCCGAGTTACACATGAAATGTGAAACTGTTACCTTTAAGTTTCATTTATAGATTCTTTGAAACTTAGGTTAAAAAAAACCCAAGAACATTTTTGCCATGTATGTTAGATAGGGTTCTCTAGGGAAACAAAACCAGGACACTTAAGATTTTATACATATTTACATAGATAGATAATATACAACATAAGAAATAAACAGCTCATTAGTTTATTAGAGCAGTAAAAACGGCTTAGTGCAACTCACTTCCGTGAGACCGCTAATACACTGACAGTCCTTTAAGTCTTGAGGGCCCCTGGGTGCAAGTCAAGGAAGCAGACCGCTGAGTCCCCTGTAGAGCAATTCAGGCAATCTGGCCACAGGCAGCAAACAGCCAGGCAGGGTACCGATAGTCAGCCAGATGACAGGGTCTGACAGTCCCCAGCTCAAGCGATATATCCTCCAGTAGTTTGGTGAAGCAGGTCTTGAAGGAACCTCAAACTATAGTGACACAGTCCTTGGGTTGGGTGACCCACAGGTAGTGTAGCTTGAAAGTTGAGGCAGAGAACCAGCCTTAAGGCAAGCAGCACACTGGTCTGATCATCAAAGAGCAAGAGATCAGAAAGGTGAGGCTCGTTGAGCCATATATTTCTCCACCCTTCAGTTAATCCCACAAGTGTTCATTGGCCAGGTTGGCATAATAAAACCTACCTATCACACCATTATATTATTTCTCTGATCAGAACCGTCAAAAAGCTTTCTATCTAATTTAAGGTAAAAGTCAAAATTCTCGAGTCCATTTTGCCTTGTAGCAACCCTGTAGGACAGGGGAGTCCTGTGGGTTTCTGAGACTGTAACCCTTTATGGAAACAGAAAGCCTCATCTTTTCCCCCATGGAACAGCTGGTGAGTTCAGATCGCTGACCTTGTAGCTAGCAGCCCAGTGTGTAACCCACTGTGCCACCAGAGCGCCTATCTTACTAGCCCCTTTATTTACTGTATCTTGAACATACCAGGTATCACGGGCCTCTGTATGCATTTCTCTTCCAGGACAGCGTTTGTACAGATACTGTCAATGACTCATTCTCTTGCTTCCTTCAGGATTCCATTCAAATATCAAGAGACCTCCCTTGACTTCCTTACATAAATAGTAGTTTGTTATCCCAGAGCTTTGTATTACTTCGCTTTATTTGATTTCCAAAGCACTTCTCACCATCTGACATATATTAATTTATGTGTGATTTATCGGCTGCCTCCTCTACTAGATAGTTCAAAAGCTCCTTGAGGGTAACGACTGTTTATGTTGGATGGGCACTTGGTTTAAATGTAATGTGGCTTATTTGTGTACCACAGAATATTAAGCTCTATTGCTTTTCTCTCTCTCCTAATGTAGATGCCAGAAGAAGAAGCTTTCTGTGTGTTTGTTAAATTAATGCAAGATTATAGACTACGTGAACTTTTTAAACCAAGTATGGCAGAATTGGGCCTTTGCATGTATCAATTTGAATGCATGATACAGGTAAATGTGCAGTGTTCATGGAAAAGCAATTGTGGGTGTGTACTTTTTTTTCTCTCGGTTTGAGTGACAGCTAAGCAAATAAAAAGCATTAAAGGAACCAAAAGATCAGTATTTTATGAGCTACTGTTCCAAGTTAAGGATCCCTGGTGGTGTAATGGTTGTGTGCCTGGCTGCTAAGAGTATTGTTAGCAGTTTGAAGCCACGAGCCTCTTCATGGGGGGAGACAGTGCTTTCTACTCCATAAAGAGCTACCGTCTCAGAAGCTCACAAGGGCAGTTCTATTCCGTCCTAGAGGTTGTGATGGGTTGGCATAGATTCAGTGGCAGTGAGTTTGGTTTTGGTTTTATTCCAGGCTAGGAGCCCTCTGCCATGGATCTCAATATGGAATTTGACTAATTTTCATATTTAAACTATACATTTGTGCTAAATGTGCCATAATGTTACTAGCTAAGCATGTGGGTATCCTTATTACATTCTATTATACCAGTGGTTCTCAACCTTCCTCATGCTGCGACCCTTTAATACAGTTCCTCATGTGTGGGTACCCCCAACCATACATTTATTTTCGTTGCTGCTTCATCGCTGTCATTTTGCTACTGCTATGGATCATTTGACCCCAGGTTGAGAACCACTGCTACCTAGAGCTTCTGACTGTTGCGTGCTCATGGGTGCCATGACGTTATGGCACTGACATCAGCCCATTTGCTGGGTCCTTTCTGTCGCTTTCAGTCTCTCACCCGTCTTTTTCTTTCCCCCTCACTCTGATAGTGCTCATTTAAGGTGTGCGCCTAGTCACATTGCCCCCTCAGGTCTGGAAGTGAGCTCACTCTGGGGTTGAGTTCCATTATCCTTTAGGTCCTTTTTTAAGGCCCCTTGTATCAGTGGAGAAGGATGTGCCCTTAAGGATAATCAACGTTGGAGATCAAAGTTTCGATGTTTACCCAAGGACAGAGCTCGAGAGAGGTAGGCAACAGCAGGAATGGGGAACAGGAAGCACAGGGAGAGTGGACTGAGTGATGGTATATTGTGATTACAGTCAATGGCATGAAACAGTATGTATGAATTATTCAGTGGAAAATAATCTCTGTTAACCTTCAACAATAACAATAGACAATTAACAATAAAAGGTTAATAGATTTAAAAAGTTAATAGTTAAAAAATACTGGGTATAGTGATTGTATATGATGGAGGGATCAAATTCAAGTGAAAAATACTTCAGAAATATTTCACTTTTCTGGAGTTAATTTTATATACAATATTTTATATAAATATATTCAGTGATATGATGTGAATGTTTTTATTGACTTGAGTTTTAGGGAGCAGAATTTGAAAAATAGATTAATAAATTAGCAGGCATGAGAGCTATTTTGATGAATCTCAGGAAAAATACCACAGGAATTATAAGCACCTCGGATGGGGTGGAAAGGGGGAACCGATTAAAGGATCTAGATATAACCTGCTCCTTGGGGGACAGACAACAGAAAAGTGGGTGAAGGGAGATGTCAGACAGTGCAAGATAGGACAAAATAATAAATTATTATCAAGGGTTCATGAGGGAGGTGGGAGCGGGGAGGGAGGGGAAAAATTGAGCTGATGCTGGGGGCTTAGGTGGAGAGCAAATGTTTTGAGAATGATGAGGGCAATGAATGTACAGATGTGCTTTACACAATGTATGGATGTATGGATTGTGATAAGAGTTATATGAGCCCCCAATAAAATTATTTTTTAAGTTGTTTTTAATAACTTTATTATGCTTTGGGATCCCTGGTGGAGTAATGGTTACATGTTGGGCTGCTAGCCTCTAGGTCAGCAGTTCAAAACCAGCAGGTTCTCTTCTGGAGAAAGATGAGGCTTTCTGCTCCTGCGAACAGGTACAGTGTCAGAAACCTCCAGGGGCAGTTTTTCCCTGTCCTATAGGGTTGCCAAGAGTCAGACTCAACTTGATGCCAATGGGTTTGGTTTGGAGTCTGTTTTATTGTGCTGTATGGGAAAGTCCTGGAGGTGTAGTAGGTTGCATACGGAGCAGGTCAGCAGTTTGAACCCACTAGCCGCTCCACAGGGGAAGACCGGCTTTCTGCTCCTGTAAGATTGACAACCTCAGAATGCCACAGGGGTGGTTCTACTCCATCTGTAGGTCACTGTGTGTCAGAACTGACTCCATGGCAGTGAGTTTTTTCTTCTGGTTTAGGTGAAGGTTTACATAGCAAATTCATTTTCCAATCAGTAGTTTACTCTCAAGTTGTTCCGTGGCAATGCCCACAAACCTTATAGTTTATCAGCTCTCTTTATTTTCTCCCTGGCTTTCCATTTCTGTTTGTCTGGTTTCCCTGCCGCTTCCTAAGCTGTCTGGTTTGGGGCAAACGTTGCCCTTTTGGGCTTGCTTAGTTGATTATTCGAAAGCACACAATCTTTAAGGTTGTTACCATTCGTTTCTCAGTTCCCGCTGATTATTTGGCCAAAAGATGCTTTCTAGCACAGGGATGTTTTCAGTTAGAAGGTTGCCTTAGGGCTAGAATCTTGGGGATTACTCTGATCTCCTTTGGCAAGTCTGTCTAGTTTTTTCTTTCCTCTTAATTGAAATTGGTTCTACATTTTTTACTCATTCCTTTTAAAAAAAAAATCATTTTACTGGGGCTCGTACAACTCTTATCACAATCCACTCCTCCATCCATTGTGTCAAGCACACTGGTGATACATTTGCCGGGACTTCATCGGGGTAGTTGATAGTGGTAGTCAGATACCAACTAGTTTTTCTTATCTCAGGTTAAAGGAGGCTGTGGTTCATGTGGGACCATTTTTTAAAAATCATTTTATTAGGGGCTCATACAACTCTTATCACAACCCATACATACATCAATTTCTTCACTACATTTGCTGATTCACCCGCTTTGTCTTCAGCAATTGTATTGAGAAGGTGAGCATCATAGAATGCCAATTTAATAGAAGAAAGTATTCTGGCATTGAGGTACTTGAGTGGAGGCCCAATGTCCTTCTGCTATCTTATCATTAAACCTATAAATATATGCACATAGATCTATTTCCCATCCTCATATATAAATACTTTTACATATGTACATGCCTTTATTTAGACCTCTATAGATGCCCTTTGCCTCCTAGCTCTTTCCTCTATTTCCTTTGACTTTCCTCTTGTCCCACTATGATGCTCAGTCTTCATTTGGGTTTCAGTAATTCCTTTTGGTTACATTACCCTTGATCACGCCCTACCAGGCCTCCTAAACCCTCCTCACCACCGATTTGGATCACTTGTTGTTTCCTTGTCCCTGGGTTTGTTAACACCACTACCTTTCCCCCCACCTCCCCCTCTCCCATGCCCCCCCAGAACTGTCAGTTCCATTGTTTTCTCCTCCAGATTGTTCATCCAGCCTATCTTATTTTAGACAGAACTGCAGAGATTAATAACGTGCACAAAAACAAGACAGAGCAAAACCAAGCAACAATATACAACAAAACAACAACAAACCAATGACAAAAAAACAAAACAAAACACAACAAGAAAGAAAAGCTTGTAGTTAGTTCAAGGACTGTTTGTTGGCCTTTAGGAGTGTTTTCCAGTCCAGTCAGTTGGGGCACCAAGCCCTGGCCCCAAAGTCCACCTTCAGCATTCCCTGGAGACCTCGCCACTCTGTTCCCTTGCTGTTCTGTTGCACCCCCTTAGTGTTTTGTCTCAGTGTAGCGGGATCAGATCGGGTGCAATTTCCACACTGTCTCTGGTGTTGTTCCCTGTAGGGCTATGGGTCAGTGAGGGACGTTGTGTCTCATAGTGGGGCTGGCCATGTGGTCTTCTCTGCACTGGCTGCTCATATCGAGAACCTTGTCCTCAAGGCCTGGTGGGCCAGGATGTGCTCCACTCTCTCCTCCTCCCCCTTCATCTGCTCCTGTGTGCTCCGATCAGATATATCCCTCTCCCGGAGCTGCAGATTCAGTGCCGTCCTTTGAAATAAATTCTTCTGGGGGGAGGGGCAGGTGTCCATGTAGTAGTTGGGATTGGGGCTGGCCCATGTGGGACCATTTATCTTTTGTACTTGTTGCTTCTCTGAGGCATAATTTTTCTTTGCTTCACTCAGGAAGATGTGTTCCCTAGATGGTAGCTTGGAAGCTTTTAAGACCCCAGATGGTGCTTATCAGACTAGGATATCTAGAATATTATCTTTATGAGCTGTATCTTACCAGTTGATATAAATGCCCCCTGAGCTTATGTTCCTTGGTCTTCAGTTCCACTAGTTCAGTTCCTGTGTCTAAATAGTTTCTATAACTGATCAAACAAATTATAATCAAAACATACAATGGGCAGCATTGAGAAGAGCAAGAATTCCAGAGTACATTACTGTGTTCTTGTAGAGCCTCTCCATAGAATGAGATACAGTTGTTCAAACAGAATTCATGGCTTAAAATCGGAGAAGGTGTGTATCAAGGTTATATCCTTTGTGTGCTAAACAGATAATCCAAGAAGCTAGACTATACGAAGAAGAGCATGGTAGCAAGATTGTAGCAAGACTCATTCATAACCTGCGATATGCAGATGACAAGATATTGCTTGCTGAAAGCCAAGAGGGCGTGAAGCACTTATTGATGGAGATCAATGACTATAGCCTTTTGTATGTGTTACAACTCAATGTAAAGAAAACAAAAATACAACTGGAGCAATATGGAGTAACATGACAAATGGAGAGAATTTTGAAGTTATCATGAAAATTTACTTGGACCCACCACAATCAGCAGTGTGGAAGTGGTGGTTAGAAAAATTATGTGTCTATTGCATTGTGGGTATCTGGTAAGAGACTTCCTTAAAGTGCTAAAAAGCAAAGGTATCATTTTTAGGACCAATGTACACCTAGCTTAAGCCCTGGTGTTTTTATTTACCTCATATGCCTGTGGAAGCTTGACATTGAATAAAGAAGACCAAGGAAGAATCAGTACCTTTGATTTTTGGGACTGGTGAATGTTGACTATACTGTGGACTTCTAGAAGAACAAACGACTCCTGCTGGAAGAAGTACAACCACAATACTCCTTAGAAGTGAGGCTCTCGAGACTTTGGACATGTTATCTGAAGGAACCAGTCCCTATAGAAGAATTTCGTGCTTGGTAAAGTAGAAGAATCTCAGAGAAGATCAGTTAATACAGTGGTTGCAACAGTGGTCTCAAGCATGCCAGTGATTGTTGCACACAGAACCAGCCCAGCATTTTTCTCCTCCATTTCTAGGGCTCCTCTGCCTACTGTCAAACAGTCATTTCTTTGCTCTCGTAGGGACCTGTAGGGCTGCAGGGTAGAACTGCCCCGTGGATGTTTGAGACTGGGAGTAGAAAGCCTCATCTTTCCTCCATCATTTCCAGTACAAGGAAGGAAAGATGCAAAATACTTAGTCTTTTAAAGAAAACTCTGAGTAGGTCTTTTATTTTTTTCTTATGAGATAGATTTATTCATTCCAATTATCTCTGTGATCAATACTTATTTTTTTTCTTTTAATAATTTTATTGGGGACTCTTACAGTTCTTAAAAGATTCCATATATCAATTGTGTCATACATAATTATACATATGTTACCATCGTCATTTTCTTAACATTTTATTTCTACTTGAGCCCTTGGTATCCGCTCCCCCCACTTCGCGACCCCTTTATAAATGATAGATTATTATTGTTTTCATATCTTACAGCAATCGCTGCCTCCCTTCACCCATGTGTCTGTTGTTCATCCCCCGGGGTGGGTGTGTGTGGGAGGGGGCGGGAGGGATGCGTAAATCATTGCCATCGTGAAGTAGGTCTTAAGATGATTCTAAATTAGATTTTTCCCTTTTTCCAAAAATAATAGACCTCCCCAAAACAATTTTAAAAGGGGGGAGGGGAGGGTATGAGGCAGCTCTAGGTTATAGATGATAGCTAATAAAATGTGAAAACACCTGAAATTTAAAAGTAAAATAAAACAATAGCCCCATTTTGATCAACCTTAAATGCTCAGTTTGATCTTTTCAGTTAATTTGTTACTGATGTTTTAAATTACCAGAGTTACTGAAGCATCTGTGTTTAAGGAGAAGAAGGTAGAAGGGAAATGAAAGGTGGGTGATGGTAGGTAACACCTGGAAGTTTTGTTTTTTAACCTGGAAGAATTTCAGCATAATTTTTTTCTAAAATATTGTAGCTTAAGACAGGACCTAGAATGACAGACAACAATGTATTCACAAATAAATAAACAATTATAAAAATCTCATTTTTTTTAACTTTCAGCCAGAATTCCAACTACACACCATTCCTCCCTGCTCTGATAGTAACCACTGTTGTGAACATATTGATTTTTATCGCTTAGCCTTTTAATGTGAGGCCCATTGTGTAGCATCCGCTATTGGCTGATGTAATGCATATACAAAGACCTAATTTAAACATTCAGTTTATATGTTTTGAATACTTATTTTCTTCTTTTTAGGAACATCTTCCAGAGCTCTTTGTACACTTTCAGTCTCAGAGTTTTCATACCTCAATGTATGCATCATCCTGGTTTCTGACAATCTTTCTTACAACTTTTCCACTATCAATCGCAACAAGGATATTTGATATTTTTATGTCTGAGGTAAGTTAATGGGTAGACTAGGGGCCCTGGGTGGGGGTAATGGTCAAGTGAGCAACCACTGACAGAAAGGCCAGCAAATCAGACCCATCTAGAGGCATCTTGGAAGTCAGGCCTGGTGAGCTGCACCCAGAATGTCAGTGTTGAAAACCCTGTGGGACAGTTCTGCTTTGACACTTGGGGTCACGATGAGCCAGAATTAAATCAATAGCAGCTGACAGCGATAACAGTGGGTACAGTGGTAGTAAGAGAGTTGAGTAAAGGGATTGGTGGGCAGCTAGAGCAGGGCAGGGAGGGCAATATTAAGGCAGACAGACCCATGTGTTTCATGCTGAGCTGCTTACATGGATACTTTGATGTAAAGCTTACAGTAACCCTGTTAGGTAGATAGGATTATTTTCTCCATTTGCTAGGTAATAGGTGTGAAAACTACTGAGGCTTAGAGAAAGTTTAAGTAGCTTGTGTTTGAATACATAGCACCTAATTAGAATAACCAGGATTGAAATGTAGGGCATCAAACACCTAATTAGAATAACCAGGATTGAAATGTAGGGCATCAAATTCTAGAGCATACACCCTTCATCAGACTTCTGGATTACCTTCTGATTGATATTTGTGAGAGTTGATGAAAGGCAAAACTTGATTTGCAGTTAGTATTTTGTATGATGTACAGTATCCAAGGCAAAAAGTATAATATTCAAGTCAGTAAAATTGGACACACACACACACTCCCATCTGAACACATTCCAGGTGATCCTTTTAACTATCAGGGACAGGTAGTGATCTTTGTGTCTGTGCTCTGAACCTGGTGCTAATTGTATCTGGGGAATACTGTTTTCTTTTAAAAAAAATCATTTTATTAGGGGCTCATACAACTCTTATCACAATCTCTTATCACAATCCATACACACATCAATTATGTAAAGCGCATTTGTACATTCATTGCCCTCATCATTCTCAAAACATTTCCTCTCCACTTAAGCCCCCCGCATTAGGTCCTGATTTTTCCCCTCTCTCCCCCCTCCCCCCTCCCGGGAAGACTGCTTTCATTGCCAAGTTAGAGTAGTTAGGAGTTGGCAGAGTTCAAGTTTGTGCATTGAATCTGTACCGCTGCCTGTTTTGTGAAGTATGTTTTCTTGGAACGCATCCACTTCCATTAGTTTCTGTGTTGTCTGCGTCTGCTTTTTGGCTTTAACAGCACTGTTGAGTAGTTGTTACAAATACCAAACGGCCCTCAAAGCCTAGGATATTAGTCATCTGACACTCATCAAATGTTTGCTGATCCCTAGTTAAGATCTCTAAATGTTTGCCTTAATATTATTTTGCCACAACAATAGCCCAATTAAAAAACATACAAACAAAAACTAGAAAACAAGTGCTGGAGAAGTGCAGAGGAATTGGAACTACTGTCCACTGCTGGCGGGTTGTAAACATGTGCAACCAGTGTGGAAAGCAATCTAGTGCGACCTAAAAGAACTGGGAATAGAACAAGTTACGATGATTTTTTAAAAGCTACAATGGCATATTTCACGGTAATTGTGTTAAGAAGGGTTGACTAGAGAAACAAATCCAGAGATAGTCAAGTATGTATAAGAAAGCGCTTTATATCAAAACATCCCTGTCCCAGTCCAACTCAAGTCCGTCAGTCTGATACTAGTCCATAAGTCCCTCTCCAGACTCATGCAGCCACATACAATGATGCAGAATGCAGGAGGATCACAGGCCGGTGGGGGTAAAGTCTGATGGATTCAATGGCAGTGGAAGCATCTCCAGAGCTCTGGCAACAACCAGGGTCAACTAGCAGGAAAATGAAGGCAGAGTGAGAGGGGAGGTTCCCAGGGCCCTCCTTAGAAGGCCACGCCCATAAGGTGGCACCATCAGGCTGACCTCATTGGCAGGTTGAATACCACAATACCACCCTTACACTTTTTTAATATATAAATCATTTTATTGGGGGTTCTTAGAGCTCTTATAACAATCCATACATCAATTGTATCAAACACATTTGTACATATGTTGCCGACATCATTTCCAAGACATTTTCTTTCCACTTGAGCCCTTGGTATCAGCTCCCTACTCCCCTCATGAACCCTAGATAAATGATAAGTTATTATTTTCATATCTTACACCATCTGCTGTCTCCCTTCACCCACATGTCTGTTGTTCGTTATACATCCATCATTGCAATCGGTCCTCCTTTTCCCCCCTTCTCCTCCTCCACCTTTCCTCTACCCTCATGGTATCACTACTTCTATAACTGTTCCTGGGGGATTTATCTGTCCTGGACTCCCATGTGTCCAGAGCTCTTATCTATACCAGTGTTTCTGATCTAGCAACACTTGTAAGGTAGAACTGGGGTCATGATAGAGATGAGAGGAGGCATTAAAGGACTAGAGGAATGTTGTGTTGCACCCTGGCTGACGTGACCCTTCTGTGAGAGGATGTTCAGTTGTCTACAGATGGGCTTTGGGTCTCCACTCCGACCCCCTCATTCGACTCGATATGATTGTTTTGGGTCTTCTGATACCTGAACCCGTTGATGCCTCATGATCACTCAGGCTGGTGTGCTTCTTCCATGTGGGCTTTGTTGCTTCCCTGCTAGATGGCTGCTTGTTTAACTTCAAGCCTTTAAGACCCCAGATACTATATCCTGTAGTAGCCAGGCACCCTCAGCTTTCTTCACCACATTTGCTTATGCACCCATTTTGACTTCAGAGATCATGTCTGGAAGGTGAGCATCACAGAATGCCAGGTGATTAGAACAAAGTGTTCTTGCATTGAGGGACGGCTTCAGTAAAGGCCCAATGTCAATCTGCTACCTTGATACTTGTAAATATATGTACATAGACCTATAGCCCTATCATTATATAGTAATATATTTACACATGTACATGCCTATATTTACACCTCTGTAAATGCCTTGCCTCCTAGTTCTTTCCTATATTTCTTTTTTCTTTCTTTCTGTCCCACTATCATATTTGACCTTTATTTGGCTCTCACTAATTCCTTTTGGCTACCTTGCACTTGATCAAACCCCACCAGGCATTCTACACCCTCCTCACCATTAGTTTTTGATCTCTTGTTATCCCTTGTCTCTGAGTTTGTTGGCTTCCCCCTTCTTTCCCCAGCTCTCTTTCTCTCCCATCCCCGCAGAACTGTCGGTCCCTTTGTTTTCTGCTTGGGATTGTTTATCTTTTCTATCGTATGTAGACAGACATAAAAAAAAAAAGGAAAATAATGGGGGGGGGGCCTATAAATAGTTCCAGGTGTGTCTGCTGACCCTTATGTATGTTTTCCAATTGCGTCTGATGAGGTGCCCTCTGAGTCTGAAATCTACTTTCAGGATTCCTTGGGGATTTTGTTGCTTTGCTCCCCTTGCTGCTCTGTTGCACTCCCTTTGTGTTTCACCCTGGTGTGTGTGTGGGGGGTCAGACCGGGCACAATTCCCTTACACTTTTATATGTCTTCAAGTTGACATGAAATTATGTAATTATCACAATAATGCTAAAATTATTATACTACTGAAGGAAAATTACAATATAGAAAATATTTTGGTGTATTTGAATAGATTACATTAGATAGATGATGCTGATGATAATAATAATAATAATAATAATACACCAACTGGGAATCGAAATGTCATATGACCCAGCAATACCTCTGCCAGTATACCACAAAGAAGTAAGAGACACAACATGAACAGACATTGGCTTTCCTAAATTCATTGCAGCACAGTTCACAATAGCAAGATTCTAGGAACAGCCCAAATGCCCATCAGTAGGAGCATGGATAAAGAAATTCCGGTATATTCCTACAATGGAATACCATACGTCCCTAAAAAGCAATGATGAAACCAGGAAGCACCTCATTCCATGAATGAACCTGGAAAGCATTAGCTGAGTGCAGTTAATCATAAAAGGACAAATAGTGTCTGAGACCACTGCTATATGGGTGAGCACCCAGCCAGAGGCAGGCATCTGTTCTTAAGTCACGTCATCTTCTTAGACAGTCTCCTAAGCAATGGTGAGCTGTGCTTGCCTAATACTCGTTAACTGTACATCTTAAAACACACTTTGAGAGAGGAGGCCTCATCTCAGCTGGGGTCAGTTTCTCATGTTGTGAGGGAGAGGGAGAACAGAAACCCACTCAATTCTTGCTCTATAATATCGTTCTGTGGTCATCCCAAATCAGCAGACACAGGCATTTATTGAACCTAACTGGAAATTCAAGTCCAGAGGAGTAGTGATAGGGTGGACATGTCTGTCTCAGGGAAGGTGATTTCACTTCTGTTGGTAAGTAAACCAGAGTGGGCAACCTGTTCTTAGGAAAAATACATACCATATATACTCATGTATAAGCTGAGTTTTTTAGCACATTTTTTAAAATTAAATGATCGTTTTATTAGGGGCTCATACAACTCATCACAATCTGTA